ATCGCTCTATGCATGCAGAGCAATGGAAGCTATTCTCCCAGGACCATTCAGCAGTTTCTAAGACAAAGTTCCAGCAGCTGCCGACTGCCAACTCTCAGTTGTCGTAAACTATGCTAGCTAAGAGATGTCTCCTTTTAAGCGACATATTTGGAATGCCCTCCAAAAGAGCATATTAAATAAGTACACAGACTTCAAGATTGCCACATATTAAGCTCAACTCAGAGTTACTCTAGATTTGAAAGAAATGCTGACTAGTAAAGTAAAGCCCAGCAAGCTAAGTTATTCAAACTGTTGCACATACACAAATTGGGAGCTCATCCACTCATTCAATAGTTCATTCAGTCATTTCTACACTCACTTTCCGATGGCTCGTCGACTTGGCTCACTTCCGCTCGATTCGCTTTGCAGGGTATGCGATAGAAACTAGAAGAGCTGAAACAAATTTCATTGTTGCTGACACCTCTCCTGACGTTTGCCGAGATGCCGACAAAGATGCGAGCGCCTCGGTATTGGAGCAACTTTTTAATTAAGAAATCTTGTGGCATTGCTTAAATATTTCAACTGCAGCTGCAGCGGCAACTCTTGCAACTGCAATTGCTTACTAATTGAGACATAAACGCACGCGCTGCCACTTGAACGCTTCTGGCCAACTCATTGTTGCCAGGGCGTGGCCCATTCAAACTTTTATTTATGGCAATAAAATGCAATTACACATCATCTTTAGCACGGCTGAGCGAGCCGAGCAACAGCCCTAATCGAACATATTTCTTTCTGGGGCCACACAGAGCGATAGAGACGGAGAGAAAGGGCAAAAAATGGGTAGGAAACAACCAATAAAATAATACTCAAGTGGCTGCTAAACGTCCAGATACTCTGTAAATAAATCCATAATTTATGCTGCTCTTACACTAAAATCGAATGTGAGCTACGTGGCGTATGCTTAATGTGAATATACTTTTCTCTTATTGGGCAATCTTTCGGTGAACCTATATATCCACTCTAGTTGGGGCTTGCAAGGTATAACAATAATAATATGGCGCCAGTTTAGTGGGCCGATATTTATGGTAAGTTTATGAGTTTTTATGGGGCGCAGTCACAGTTCTTCGGGCGACGTGTTGGCTATGATTGTGGGCAATTTTCTGTGGTCTGCCGTATAAAATATTGAAACGAGTCATATTCTTATTCAATTACGTGTTCAAGAGAGTGACTATGTGCCAGTGTGTGTGTGAGTGTGTGTGTGTGTGCCAGTTGCTAGGTTAATCAGCATAAAAATAAGCAGCCAGCAGATAGAATTGAAAGCTGCCAACGACCTTGTCACAGTCTCGTGGCTATTCAG